CTCTCTCTCATGTACATGTACAACTGTAGTAAACAATCAAAATGTCAGTAAAAACACATGTTAATTAAATTTCACACCTTTCATTTATGTTCTATACAAAATTACAATCACCAGCCTATCCTACTATGTGCAGATGCTAAAACCAATTATACTAAATTATCCATTTATTGATTTAGCTGCAGTTTTGTACAGTAGGTACAGTGTGTCAGTGATGAACTTTGAAAACTGGTTATATACCAGCTGAACAATGACCCCCAAATCTTTTTATATTGTGGCTTTTCGGCACGGGTACCACAATCTTGAGGCAAAAGGTAACGGAACGCACAGATGGACCTCAAGTTGGGGACCTACATGTACATACGTATGCTTTAACCCTTGTCGGTGCACGTGGGGTCTCCGTGGATCCCATGCACATGTTTTATAGTGTTGTGTAATAACTACTGGGCACTGCTTTCTGAAATTTAGTGACTTTGTCTCCTATACATTTTTACACGTACATGTAGTGAAGAACTCGGTATTCATCTGCTTCCCACATGCAGAGTTCTGTTACATGCAAATCAGGCCCAACGCTTGAAGATAAACTCGGACCCCTAACTGAAACAACTCAACGTAGGGATTTTGCTAATGTGTTTGCTGCCTGATACCATATTGCGTATGCCAGAGTATTCTCTCTTTTAGCAGCTGCATGTTACAAATACCAAAAATTAAATGATGAATTCAAGATATTCAATGGTTTTTGTATCAAGCGTGAATTGTCATTTTAACCTCTTTATCAAAATGTCACTAAAATGTTTTTGTAAAATAATTTAGTTGTTTTTCAGTTGTCAAATATGAAGGCAAATAAAAACTAAACCGCTGCCTTTTAATTCAAATATATCTGTACGTAAAAACTTTGAATTATAACTGGGGTCCATATGGACCCCTGATACCTGCTATGTGATTCTCATAAAGTGAACCCACAAGGGTTAATGGGATTATACATGTATGGTACATGTACAATGTACATATCTCATGCCAATTTTCAGCGGAGAGTCACATCCATGGAAACCCTTTCATAATAACAATAAACATACATGTATGCATTACCGCACCTTATGTCATACATGTGTAGTTATGTTCACATTCAAATGATAGAAAGGGAGTTAATCAAATCCAGGAGCACAGAAGTTGTCTCAAACTACATGTACCCTCACTTAAAAAAAATTACGCAATAAGAATGTAATTTTTTGTATAAAAGACCATCACCTTAGGCTGTAACTGTGTAGACTGAACCACTAGGACTTTACTGGTGTGTAATATAATACATGTTCAAACAATTTTTTTTTAGAAAAACTGACTACTATCGTTTAGTTAATCACTATTAAACGCTATCCTGAACCACATCAAGCTACCTTTAATTGCTTCCCATATATAACTACAAATTTTATGTACATGTAACCTCGCGCTTGTTGTTCTAGAATATAGTCTATATACTATTTTACTAACCACACCAGTGCTGTTTGTTACTTTATAATATCATGCAAGTATTAGTCTGCTCTTAGTGATCCAATCATTGTATTGGAACAAAGAAGACAACTTATGAATATAGTCACATTTAAAAGGTCTGGTTCAATCAATAATCCCAAATAATATGCACGGTACATGTATGGTATGTCGAACTCGGTAAAAATCTTCGAAAACAGTTGAAGCCAGTCAGTGCTACATGTTCTTGCATAGAGAGTCATTTGGTATTTTCAGTCAAAAAAATTACATTCTTTTGGTGGTTAAGGTTTATGGCCATTGGCATTATGACCACATCCCCATGTATTGATTCTCTGAATTTTAACAATTGGCCAACAGTTGAAATTCATACTAATTATATATCAGATTAACGGACACATTTCCTAAACTGAATCACTAAGTAGGCTACAGTTACTGATTTAAATTTGTCTTAAAGCGTGTGCCTTTCAATTTCCTAAGTTAGATCAGTGGTTCTCAACCTTTTTTTGCTAACAGCACACCTTGGAACCCCTGAAAGTATAGCGGCACACCTGGCTAAATATATATGAAAAATATTTGAATTTTGCAAAATAAAAACATGGTAAGTCAGACGGAATACAAACGTAGACAGAAGCTAGTCATAGACACATAGAATGACTCAAATTAAATAAAGAAAAACACAGCTATGAACTTACTGTCTGATTCATCGTAAATTTTAAACGGATTTCTTCGATTATGAACAAACTACTTAACGTTGGTTATTATAAACTTACCTGTGTGTTTGTAATGAACTCCCGTTCGATAAAATCCATTGCACAACTAATTATCACAACGATGAAAACAAGTTCTCTCTTGAAAAATTGAAATATCACAAACTTTTCCCAGAGAAAAATACCAATATGGAAGATGGTTACGTCACTCTGCGGAAGATATCATTTCGTATTAGGGGTGACAGCATAGGAAATTCAACTACAATTACGACAAGAATCCATGACCACTCGGACCAAAGACCACTCGGTTCAAGACCAGTCGGACCAACTGATAGACCACTCAGCCCAAACAAATAGACTACTCGGACCATACAAAAAGACTATTCGGACCCAACAGAAAGACCACTCGGACCAATAATAAAATGTTGTTTTAATAAATAGATAATTGCGTTTGTTTTAATATAATTACTCGAACCAATAATAAAGTGTTATTTTAATAAATTGATAATTGTGTTTATTTTAATATGACTACTCGAACCAATAATAAAGTGTTATTTGAATAAATTGATAATTGTGTGTGTTTTAATATGACTACTCGAACTAATAATAACGTGTTGTTTGAATAAATTGATAATTGTATTCCAAATCGCAAAATATCGAGAACCACACTTGTAGTCACGTTTAAAAAGGGGCATATAAACGTCCGGTCTTCGTATTATTATGTGCTGTTTATATTAACGCATCAAGGGCGGATAACTTGAAAACGTGTCTCCACCCCCACCCCCCATATATAGTAACCCAGGGGTTAGTGGGGTAGAACGGAATGAAACCACTGGGGATACCGCGAATGTGGAAAAAGTAAAATTAGGATATCAGACAAGAACAGTATACCCGTATATGTAGAAACTGTCAAAAGTCTGGACATACCGAGTCTCATTGCAAGAGTAAAGAAAAATTAGATTGATATTTTTTTTTGGCACCATTATTAATTAATTTTAAAACTAATCGTTGATTTATTTTCCGTACACAAAATTGAACCAAACAACTCTAAATATAAGAATTCCGTATAAGAATTATTTGCTTCTTTGTATTGTGATTTAATAATAAATAAATAGCATATTGTCTAGCCTTATAATATAATTTAATTGGTCCGACTGGTCTTGTTTTGGTCCGACTGGTCTTAGTCCGAGTAGTCTTTGGTCCGAGTGGTCTGGATACCTACGACAATTGGCATTGAGTTTGAGCGTTCGCACACATAACTACCCGCATTCCTGTATTTAGTTACCGTCTTTTACATTCTAGTAAAATCTCTGCAAATTTTATAGCTTTACTTTTTGAAATATTTTGTTCTAATTATTTGATTAGCGACTCGGATGGGATTATTTACTTTTGAACACGCATGCCGCACAAACACAACTATACATTCGTTTTACGGGCTTTATCACACTTCGGTCAAAACTGTCGAATCGGGAATTAATGTTCCGCTTCTTACGGGGTCATACGGGCTTAGTAGCATTATATACCCACCCGGGCACCCAATACGGCAATAGACACGCTGAGGGCTGCCGCAACACGCTTAAAGATGTTACTGAAGCGGTTATTATTCGATCGAAAGAATGCGTATAAAATTAAAAATACACTCAGAGAATTCGGAGGTAAGCTTCATGATCCTTGTTAAATTATTTATAACATAAAGAAGATAGGATATTTATAGTTTATTCATGACTTTATTTTTACGAGTATCCGTGCAATCAGTGATATTTTAATTGTGAAGAAAATTTGATAGACTGGCGATCAATGGTTTCCATATAAATCTCCTATGTAATTGCCTTCAATTGATATTTTTCGTCGCCCAAACCCATATACGATCAAAATGATCGCGCTGTCAAACTATCTTTCAATGTTAACCAACCCCCGCAACAGGTATATTGGATTCGACCATTACGTCACGAAGACATTGTTGACATCGACTCTGTCGAAATTACAAGTAAATTTTCAAATTTTTCAAGAGAGAAATTGTTCTCATCGTTGTGATAATTAGTTGTGCAATGGATTTTATCGAACGGGAGTTCATTACAAACACACAGGTAAGTTTATAATAACCAAAGTTAAGTAGTTTGTTCATAATCGAAGAAATCCGTTTAAAATTTACGATGAATCAGACAGTAGTAGTAATAGTAGACACCAGTGAATACTCAGTTGGGATCACATGGTTTTGCACATTTTCTTAGTGTGCTGTTCAAAATTTTGTGGCACACTTAGAAAGATCTTGCGCCACACTGGTTGAGAAACACTCTGGTAGTGTAGATAAAGCACAAAGGACATGGATTTAATGATCATGGATTTAATGAGAACATTATTACCATGTTGTCACTCTCAAAATCTTTGGTACACATTCACATATTGTAGAATAAAATCTTAAATCTATAGAAAATATTAATTTGTAACCACTGCATGATTTGACTGATGATACTCACACTGTCTCAGTTTCATCACGTAGCCGTAGGCCTACACTGACACTAGTCACCACTCTGAGTATCACCATGTCGAATTTCACAACTTTATATTAGACCTCAGACTAAATTGGATGGTAATAGCCTACCAATAACATATATATAATGTGATGTCTGAAAATTGTTAATGAAAAAAAAAAAACCCAAAAAACCAAAAAACCAAAAACATACAATGAGTGGATGGCGGCGGCATTCATTTTTCCACTCGACTTTGTCTGGTTGGTTGGTTGTCTATGCCTACTCAAAATATTTATAATTTGTGCCATGATAGTTACGTTATTTGCCTAAACCAACTCACCGTTGTGTTGTCTTTAACATTTTTGGACCATATAATATTTCCTACATTCCGTTTCCTCTTTTTCCCGAGCATTGCCAATACATTTTTCATGACATTTAACACAGAACAAATCTATTCTCGGTGCCACCGATAATATTCTGACCTTTTCTATATCAGGTCATCTGGCCCGCAGCAAGTTCCGGATAACTTTAAGAAATCAATAAGAGATAAAAATCAATACGGCATGCACCCAAAATTCAAACATATAGCCTATTAGATCTATTAATAATTGGTTCAGAATATTACTGAATAAAGCAGACAAAAGGGATATCAAAATTTTCTCCTGATAACTTTCGTCTGCTAATGGATACAGATCACCAATAATGTATTCCCTTTGACTTTAATGTTAATTCTTGTCTAATAGACCGGCTTTTACTTTTTCCCAAATTTCCGTTGGGTAGAACGCTTGCTATAATAGATGGAGTAACATGCGGCAACCACTTGCTCAAAAGCATGTATGAGGTTCATCATGGAAAACTTGAGATACACTACACAAACTGGAAGTAGAGACTAAAAAACGTGTAATTTTCAACCTAACCAACCCCTTAACTCTCGTATCCTTCCGCTTCAAAATCATGAATATTCACCAAAACCTGACAGAAAATGTATATTCAAACCCTTTTCTTCAATTCTACATCAAAAAGTCAACAAAGATCGCCATGCAAAAGGAGGGAAAATGGAAATGGATAGAGAGACTAAAAATAACTTTGACCCTTGTTTCCGGGTGACGGCGTAGGAATCCTAATATGACTTCACGCGCACCGGTTGGGATCAGTCCACTGATCTATAATATAATAAATTAATAGTAAACTGGACAAACCTGTATGGCCTCTATAAAATGGCAAAGGGTGCAAGTTTTTGGTGACTACATAAACTATAGGCCTATATCAAATTAAACTGCAGAATGTGCTTGTTTCAAAACTGCAATGTTTTCCCCAAAAAGTATGTTTGCTACTTAGAAAATGCTATTTTAAAGTGACTTAATTTTAACCAATCAGAAGGCAGCATCAGGCCTAAAAACTGTCGAGCCCGAGCCTAACAAAGATGGCCGCGCCCATGCTTGAATGTTGTTGTCATATCACTGACTGCACAGATGAGCCAATTTTACCTGTTTCTGATGTATCCTGGGGAAGGATATGCGAGTGTATGACTTTGTGGGCTTCTCTAGACGGAAAGGAAAAAGAAATAGCTTGTGTATTCAATTCTACTTCCCGTGACACTACTGTGTGAACCATCGTAAATTTTAAACGGATTTCTTCGATTATAAACAAACTACTTAACTTTGGTTATTATAAACTTACCTGTGTGTTTGTAATGAACTCCCGTTCGATAAAATCCATTGCACAACTAATTATCACAACGATGAGAACAAGTTCTCTCTTGAAAAATTTGAAAATTTACTTGTAATTTCGACAGAGTCGATGTCAACAATGTCTTCGTGACGTATTGGTCGAATCTAATATACCTGTTGCGGGGGTTGGTTAACATTGAAAGATAGTTTGACAGCGCGATCATTTTGATCGTATATGGGTTTGGGCGACGAAAAATATCAATTGAAGGCAATTACATAGGAGATTTATATGGAAACCATTGATCGCCAGTCTATCAAATTTTCTTCACAATTAAAATATCACTGATTGCACGGATACTCGTAAAAATAAAGTCATGTATAAACTATAAATATCCTATCTTCTTAATGTTATAAATAATTTAACAAGGATCATGAAGCTTACCTCCGAATTCTCTGAGTGTATTTTTAATTTTATACGCATTCTTTCGATCGAATAATAACGGCTTCAGTAACATCTTTAAGCGTGTTGCGGCAGCCCTCAGCGTGTCTATTGGGTGCCCGGGTGGGTATATAATGCTACTAAGCCCGTACGACCCCGTAAGAAGCGGAACATTAAATCTCGATTCAACAGTTTTGACTGAAGTGTGATAAAGCCCGTAAAACGAATGTATAGTTGTGTTTGTGCGGCATGCGTGTTCAAAAGTAAATAATCCAATCCGAGTCGCTAATCAAATAATTAGAACAAAATATTTCAAAAAGTAAAGCTATAAAATTTGCAGAGATTTTACTAGAATGCAAAAGACGGTAACTAAATACAGGAATGCGGGTAGTTATGTGTGCGAACGTTCAAACTCAATGCCAATTGTCCTAGGTATCCAGACCACTCGGACCAAAGACTACTCGGACTAAGACCAGTCGGACCAATTAAATTATATTATAAGGCTAGATAATATGCTATTTATTTATTATTAAATCACAATACAAAGAAGCAAATAATTCTTATATTTAGAGTTGTTTAGTTCAATTTTGTGTACGGAAAATAAATCAACGATTAGTTTTAAAATTAATTAATAATGGTGCCGCAAAAAATATCAATCTAATTTGTCTTATTTACTCTTGCAATGAGACTCGGTATGTCCAGACTTTTGACAGTTTCTACATATACGGGTATACTGTTCTTATCTGATAGCCTAATTTTACTTTTTCCACATTCGCGGTATCCCCTGTGGTTTCATTCCGTTCTACCCCACTAACCCCTTGGTGAATATATGGAGGGTGACACGTTTTCAAGTTATCCACCTAAGACCGGACGTTTATATGCCCCTTTTCAAATGTGACTTGTGTGGTTCTCGATATTTTGCGATTTGGGATACAATTATCAATTTATTCAAACAACACGTTATTATTAGTTCGAGTAGTCATATTAAAACACACACAATTATCAATTTATTCAAATAACACTTTATTATGGGTTCGAGTAGTCATATTAAAACAAACACAATTATCAATTTATTAAAATAACACTTTATTATTGGTTCGAGTAGTCATATTAAAACAAACACAATTATCAATTTATTAAAACAACACTTTATTATTGGTCCGAGTCGTCTTTCTGTTGGGTCCGAGTAGTCTTTTTGTTTGGGCCGAGTGGTCTATCAGTTGGTTCGACTGGTCTTGGACCGAGTGGTCTTTGGTCCGAGTGTTCATGGATTCTTGTCGTAATTGTACTTGAATTTCCTATGCTGTCACCCCTAAATACGAAACCAGCTTCCATATTGGTGTTTTTCTTTGCCAAAAGTTTTTGATATTTCAATTTTTCAAGAGAGTAGACCTACTTGTTTTCATCGTTGTGATAATTAGTTGTGCAATGGATTTTATTTAACGGGAGTTGATTACAAACTCACAGGTAAGTTTATAATAACCAAAGTTAAGTAGTTTGTTCATAAGCGACGAAATCCATTTAAAATTTACGATGAATCAGACAGTTGTGTACACGAGGAGTGATATCTGACCTCAATACAAACTGGGTCCAGGTCACCAATCTGCAACAAAATACGGCTGTCGCCTTTCAATTCAGCAGCCTGCAAAAGTTTTTCAGCATAAGTTTCACATGTGACTAATGCCTCCACATTTCTCTTCAATGTTCTTTTGTCAATAATATTACCTTCCTCTTTTGGCATATAATTCATTCTTCTGGTAATACATGTTTTGAACGCCTCTCAACAACTTTATCCCTGCCTAATGAGGATCTCAGGATGCATTTTAACTTTTTAGGGGAAGATGGAATTTCAGAGATATTGGTGTCGCTATCAGCAGACCTTAAACACCCCTTATCTTTTCGTTTAACACATTGTTCAATTCGTTTCTTATTTGTGAAACGTTGATAGCAAACTCTGTGAAAACCACTAGTGTCACGGGAAGTAGAATTGAATACACAAGCTATTTCTTTTTCCTTTCCGTCTAGAGAAGCCCACAAAGTCATACACTCACATATCCTTCCCCAGGATACATCAGAAACAGGTAAAATTGGCTCATCTGTGCAGTCAGTGATATGACAACAACATTCAAGCATGGGCGCGGCCATCTTTGTTAGGCTCGGGCTCGACAGTTTTCAGGCCTGATGCTGCCTTCTGATTGGTTAAAATTAAGTCACTTTAAAATAGCATTTTCTAAGTAGCAAACATACTTTTTTGGGAAAACAATGTTGATTTAATCATAAATAACATTATTTGATTTAATTATGATGAGATTTCCCCCTCACCAAAAACTTGCAGCTAAAAATCACATTTATCTGGTTCGGCCCACGGCCTATACATAGAACTAGTTAGTATTCTAGTTCTATGATATTATGTATAGATAAAGTTGCGACATAGATATCCTATATAGGATATCTATGGTTGCGACAACTGTTAAGCCAGAAATTTCATATGACGTCATGAAAATATGACGTCAAGTGTACAAAGACGCCATCTTGGGTCCTAAGTATTTCTAGTAATTTCTACCTACTCACTTTCTATTTTATGTCCTTTCATACTGTTGTGTCGAAGTTGACTGCACCCGACAGGGATGTAGATGGATATCTCATAGAATTCCGCGAAAAAGAGATAAAATATATCTTTTTTAAACGAAAAGTATAGCTGAACAAACTATTATTATTATTGTTATTATACAACAAAAAGCGCACATTATTGTTATAAGAATATAGTCCAATTCATAAGAAAATGAAATGAAAGATCAACCAGATAAAAGCGCTATTAAATATATTTAACTTGCATACGCTTTTAAAAATCAGATTTTTTGTGCAGACGGGTAAAGTGAAAAATTAAAATTTAAATAGTAATTTGAGAGATAAAACCTTTTTGCCTTCTAGCCGGCAAAATAAATGCCTGAAATTCCATGATTTTTTGGTCTGGCGCCATTCCGGATTCGGTCATCGATCATTATTTTTCGAAAATAGAAATTTCTTTAAATTGACTAGATAAAACATTTAAAATCAGCGTAATTAAAATAAAAGGTGTCTAGCGTAACATGTGTTTCGGGCATATGTTTCATCAGTGACATGCGAGACGAGATATCGCTCTACGAAACGTCCTGGTGTCTTTTGAGTAAATAATAATATTAATCTAATATATAAACCGCACAAATTTAACAGATACAAATAATGTACATGTTATTCCACAGGTAGACATACATTGAAGGGGCCCAAGGAAGGAGACGCAGTTGCTTTAGAGTTTGTCCTACACATTTGGGTATTTGCGCCCCATTTCCAATGAAATAATCATGTTGTTCTGATGCTCAACTAGTATCAAATATATACTCTTCAAAAAAAG